GAACATCTTTTCATATGCCTGTTGACCATCTGTATATCTTCTTTAGAAAATATCTGTTCAGATCCTCCACACATTTTTTGATCAGGTTGTGTGTTTTTTTGTTGCTGATTTGTATGAGTTCTTTATATATTTTGGAAATTAATCCCTTGTCAGATATATGATTTGCAAATATTTTCTACCAATTGGTGGGTTGTCTTTTCGTTGCATTCATGGTTTCCTTTGCCCTGCAGAAGCTTTTTCGTCCGCTGTAGTCCCATTTGTTTATTTTTTCTTTTGTTCCCCTTTCCTGAGTAGACGCAGTATTCAAAAAGATGCTGCTAAGACCGATGTCAAAGAGTGTACTGCCTATATTTTCTTCTAGGAGTTTTATGTTTTCAGGTCTTACATTCAAGTCTTTAATCCATTTTGAGCTAATTTTTGTGTATAGTGTAAGATAATGGTCTGCTTTCATTCTTTTGCAAGTGGCTGTCCAATTTTCCCAACACCATTTATTGAAGAGACTTTCCTTTCTCCATTGTATGTTCTTGGCTCCTTTTTCAAAGATTAGCTGTCCATAGATGTGTGGTTTTATTTCTGGCCTCTTTACTCTGTTCCATTGATCTGTGTGTCTGTTTTTGTGCCAGTACCATGCTATTTTGATTACTATAGCTTTGCAGTAGATTTTTTTTTTTTAAATGGTTTTTTTTTTTTTTTTTAAAGATTTTATTTATTTATTTATTTTTTCCCCCAAAGCCCCAGCAGATAGTTGTATGTCATAGCTGCACATCCTTCTAGTTGCTGTATGTGGGACACGGCCTCAGCATGGCCGGAGAAGCGGTGCGTCGGTGCACGCCCGGGATCCGAACCCGGGCCGCCAGCAGCGGAGCGCGTGCACTTAACCGCTAAGCCACCGGGCCGGCCCTTTGCAGTATATTTTGAAGTCAAGGATTGTGATACCTCCAGCTTTGTTCTTTTTTCTCAGCATTGCTTTGGCTATTCAGGGTCGTTTGTTGTTCCATATAAATTTTAGGATTCTCTGTTCTATTTCCATGAAGAATGTCATTGGGATTCTGACTGGGACTGCATTGAATCTGTATATTGCTTTAGGTAATATGGACATTTTAACTATGTAAATTCTTCCAGTCCATGAGCATGGAATATCTTTCCATTTCTTTAAGTCTTCTTCAATTTCTTTCAATAATGTCTTATAACTTTCAGTGTGTAGGTCTTTCACTTCCTTGGTTAAATTTATTCCTAGATATTTTATTCTTTTTGTTGCAATTGTAAATGAGATTGTATTCTTGACTTCTCTTTCTGCTAGTTCATTATTAGTGCATAGAAGTGTAACTGATTTTTGTATGTTGATTTTTTACCCTGCAACTTTGCTGTAGTTGTTGATTATTTCTAATAGTTTTCTGGTGGATTCTTTAGAGTTTTCTATATATATGTATATACATACGTACAGCATCATGTCATCTGCAAACAGTGATAGTTTCACTTCTTCCTTTCTAATTTGGATCCTTTTGTGTGTGTGTGAGGAAGATTAGGCCTGAGCTAACATCTGTTGCCAGTCCACCTCTTTTTGCTGAGGAAGACTGGCCCTGAGCTAACATCTGTGCCCATCTTCCTCTACTTTATATGTAAGATGCCTGCCACAGCATGGCTTGATAAGTGGTATGTAGGTCTGTGCCTGTGATCTGAACCTGTGAACCCTGGTCCACCAAAGCAGAGCACATGAACTTAGCCACTATGGCACCAGGCTGGCCCAGTAATTTGGATCCTTTTTATTTCTTTTGCTTGCCTAATTTCTCTGACCAAAACCTCCAGTACTATGTTGAATAGGAGTGGTGAGAGTGGGCTCCCTTATCTTGTTCCTGTTCTCAGAGCAATGGCTTTCAGCTTTTCACAATTAAGTAGGATGTTGGCTGTGGGTTTATTAAATATGGCCTTTATTATTTTGAGATACTTTCTTTCTATACCCATTTTATTGAGAGTTTTTATCATAAATGGATGTTGGATCTTGTCAAATGCTTTCTCTGTGTTTGATGACCATGTGATTTTTATTCCTTATTTTGTTAATATGGTGTATCATATTGATTGCTTTGCAGATGTTGAACCATTCTTGCATCCCTGGAATAAATCCCACTAGATCATAGTGTATGATATTTTTAATGTATTATTGTATTCAATTTGCTAGTACTTTGTTGAGGATTTTTGCATCAATATTCGTCAATGACACTGGCCTGTAATTTTCTTTTTTGTGTCATTCTTGTCTGGTTTCAGTATCAGGGTAATGTTGCCTTCATAGAACGAGCTAGGAAGCTTCCCCTCCTTTTTAATTTTATGGAAAACCTTGAGAAGGATAGGTATTATGTCTTTGAATGTTTGGTAGAATTCACCAGGGAAGCCATCTGGTCCTGGACTTTTATTTTGGGGGAGATTTTTTATTACTGTTTCAATCTCCTTACTGGTGTTTGGTCTATTCAAATTCTCAATTTATTCTTGATTCAGTTTTAGAAGGTTGTATAATTCTAAGAATTTATCATTTATTCTAGATTATCCAATTTGTTGGAATATAGCTTTTTGTAGTATTCTCTTATAATCTTTTGTATTTGTGAGGTGTCTGTTGTAATTTCTCCTCTTTCATTTCTGATTTTATTTGTTTGAGATTTCTCTATTTTTTTCCTGGTGAATCTAGCTAAAGCCTTGCCAATTTTGTTTCTTTTCAAAGAACCAGCTCTTACTTTCACTGATTTTTTTTTTCTATTCGTTTTTTTAGTCTCCATTTCAATTATTTCTGCTCTTATTTTTATTATTTCTTCCCTTCTACTGATTTTGGGCTTTGTTTGTTCTTTGTCCATTTCCTTTAGGTGCACTGTTAGATTGTTTATTTCAGATTTTTGTTTGTTGAAGTAGTCCTGTATTACATTAAACTTCCCTCTTAGACCTGCTTGTGTTGCATCCCATAAATTTTGGCATGTCATATTTTCATCTTCATTTGTCTCCAGGTATTTTTTTGGATTTCCTCATTGACCCAATTGTTGTTCAGTAGCATTTTGTTTAATCTCCACATATTTGTGGCTTTTCCAATTTTCTTCCTGTAGTCAATTTACATTTTCAAACCATTGTGGTCAGAAAATATGCTTGGTACTTTTTCAGTCTTCTTAAATTTATTGAGACTTGTTTTGTGGCCTAATATGTGATCTACCATGGAGAATGTTCCATGAGCATTTAAAAAGAATATGTATTCTGTGGTTTTTGGATGGAATGTTCTGTATATATCTACTGTAAAGTCCAACTGGTCTAATGTGTCATTTAAAGCCAATGTTTCCTTATTGATATTCTGTTTGGATGATCTATCCGTTGATGTAAGTGGAGTGTTAAAGTCCCCTACTATTGTTGTGTTGCTATTTCTCCTTTTATGTCTGTTAATAATTGCTTTATATATTTAGATGCTCCTATGTTGAGTGCATATTTACAAGTGTTATATCCTCTTCTTGGATTATTCCCTTTATCATTATGTAGCACCTTTCTTTGTCTCTTGTTAGAGTTTTTGTTTTAAAGTCTATTTTGTCTGATATAAGTATTGCTACTGTAGCTTTCTTTTCATTGTCATTTGCATGGAGTATCATTTTCCACCCCTTCACTTTCAGCTTGTGAGTGTCTTTAGGTCTCATGTGTGTCTCTTGTGTGCTGCATTTATATGGGTCCTGTTTTTTTTTATCTATCTGCTTGGTGATATGAAAATACTTCCAATGCACACATTGGAATTGGGTGGAGAATCCATTACATATGGAAATATGATTAATTTTTATATTGGTCTTGAATCCTACAATCTTGCTAACTTTATTTATTAATTATACTAACTTTTTTTATATATCCACAGAGACTTTTTTTAGATTCTACATAGAAGATCACATCAAATGCAAACATAGATAGTATTACTTCTTTCTTTCCAATCAAAATGTTTTTATTCCTTTGTCTTGCCTTGTTACCTAGTGAGAACCTCTAGTCAAATGTTGAATAGAAAAGGTAAGAATGAATCTCCTTGCCATGTTCCTGACCTTAGGAGGAAAGTATTCAGATTTCCATCATGAGATATGTAGTAGGTTTCTCTTAGATGCCCTTTATCGTATTTCATATCAATCTTCTATTTCTAATTTGCTGAGAGTTTTCATCAGGAATAGATGTTGTAATTTTTGAAATGTCTTTTCTGCAAATACGGAGATATTTTCTTTCTACGTTGGTTAAAATGATGAATCACATTGATTGATTTTCTAATGTTAAACCAATCTTGCATTCTTGGGGTAAACCCCACTGGGTGATGATATATGATGAGTTTTATATAATATTGTGTTCAATCTGCTAAAATTTTGTTAAGAATTTTTGTATTTATATTCATGAGAGATATTCGTGTGTAGTTGTCTTGTTTTGTAATGTTTGCCTCTCATCGGAGGAATGCTGACCTCATAAAATGAGTAGGAAATGTTTCTTCCTCTTCAGTTTTCTGGAAGGACTTGTGTAGAATTGGTACTATTTGTTCCTTAAAGTTGCATAGAATGGACCAGTGAGGTGAAACTTGTTAAAAACCTTTGTGGAAAAGTTTTTAATTGTAAATTCAATTAATTTAACAGATATAGAGCTATTAGAGTTGTCTGTTTCTTCTTAAGTTGTGTTGGTAGTTTACATCTTTCATGGAATTTGTACATTCCATCAAAGTTGTCAGATGTGTAGGCATGTTATTCCTGGCGTTGGTAATGTATGTATTCTACCTTTTTTCCCCTAATCATTCTGGTTAGAGGTCCATCAATTTTATTGATCTCATAAAACCAGCTTTTGATTTTATTTTCTCTATTTTTTTGGCTTTCTCCTACATTGACTTTCATTCTGATCTTATTTTTTTCTTCTACTTATTTGTGCTTAATTTGTCCTCCTATTTTTTTTTGTTAGTTTCTTAAGGCAAAAATGTTAGATCATTGATTTGAGACTTTTTCCTACTATAGGCATTTTTTGATTAGTGCCACCAAGTCAATTCCAACTCCTAGAAACCCTGTCTACAGCAGAGTAGAACCCTGCCCAGTTTTATGTGCCATACTCCCACCTTCTGGCACTATATCAGACAATGTTCCACTGCTGTTCATAGGGTTTTCAGGACCAAATTTTTTGGAAGTGGATGGCCAGGTACTTCTTCCTAGTCTGTTTTAGTCTGGAAGCTCCATTGAAATCTGTCCACCACGGGTGACCCTGCTGGTATTTGACATATCAGTGGCTAGCTTTCAGCATCACAGAAACACGTATATGCCACAGTATGATAACTGACAGATGGGTGGTGCTGTTCCCTGACCGAGAAAGAAACCCAGGCCATGGCAGTGAGAGTGCCAAATCTTAACCACTAGACCACCAAATATAGGCATTAATTTCATAAATTTCATTCCAAATATGACTGTAGCTGCATCTCACAAATTTTGACTTGTTGTCTTTTCATTTTCATTCAGGTCAAAATATTTTCTAACATCTCTCTTGATTTTTTCTTTCATCCATAGGTTATTGAGGAATGTGTTAATGTCTAAATTATTTGATATTTTCCCAATATTTTTTCCTTATTGGTTTCTAATTTAATTTCATTGAGGTCAAAGAACTTTTAAATTGTATGATGTCACAGGGATCCTGTTAAATTTATTGATATTTGTTTGAGATTTAGAATAAGTCCTTTCTGGGTAATGTTTCCTGTAGACTTAAAAAATAGGTATTTTTCTGTTATTTGATGGCATGTTCTATAAATATCAATTAGTTCAAGTAGTTTGATAGTGTTGTTCATGTCTTCTATATCTGTACTGATTTTTTGCCTACTTATTTTTCCAATTATTAAGAGAGGGATACTGAAATCTCTGAATATAATTGTAAATTTGTCTGTTTCTCCTTGTAGCTCTTTCAGTTTCAACTTCATTATATTGTAGCTCTCTAATTATATGTATAAATGCTTAAGATTGTTAAGCCCTCTTGATGATTGGACCCCTTTATCATTATGAAATAACCATCTTTATCCCTGGTAATATTATTTGCTCTGAAATCTACTTTGTTTAATATTTTTAAAACCAGTCCAGGTTTCTTTTGGCTAATGTTAGCATGGTATATCTTTTTCCCTCCTTTTACTTTTAATTTACATGCATTTTTAAATTTAAAGTGGGTTTCCTCTTGATAGAATATATCTGAGTCCTGCTTTTTATTCAATCTGACAATCTGTATCTTTTTATTGTGGTGTTTTGAGCATTTACATTTAAAGTGATTGTTGATATGATTCGGGTTAAGTTTATCATCTTGCTCTTTGTTTTCAATTTAATACATCTTTTCTTTGTTCCCCTTTTTCTTTTTTTCTCTTCTTTTTGGTTGAGTTATTTTAAAAATTCAAGTTTATCTTTTTGGCTTATTAGATATAACTCTTTCTTATATTACTTTAGAGGTTGAATAGTGTTTATAGTACATGTAATTAACTTTTCCCTGTCTAACTTCAAGTGATATTATACTGCTTCATATACCGTATAAGAGTCTTTTAAAAATCTACTTTCATTTTTCTCCTCATGAAATTTGGACTATTGTACTCATACATTTTACTTCTATGTATATTATAAACCCCATGTTACATTGTTTTTGCTTATGCTTTAAAGAGTTATCTTTTTCTTTAGGGGAAGAAAGCTATATGTAATTAGAAAATTACCTTCTCGTATCTTTTTTTAATAAACTTTTTATCTTAGAATAATCTTAGGTTTATGGAAAAGTCACAAAGATAGCACGGAGACTTCCTATATATCCCTCACCCAATTTTTCTAATTGTTAACATCTTACAGTACATTTTTCAAAACTGAGAAACCAGTACTGACACATTACTATTAATTTAACTCCAGGTTTTATTTAGAGTTTACCAGTTTTTCCTGTTTGTTCTGGGGTCAAATCCTGGGTCCACATCTCACTTCTTTATCATGTCTTCCCAGTCTCTTTGGTCTGTGACAGTTTCTCAATCTTTCTGTTTTTCATGATCTTGCAGCCTTAAGGAATATTGGTCAGATATGCTATATAATACTCCTGCATCTAAATTTGTCTATTTTTCTCATGATTAGACTGGGATTATGAGATTTTGGAAGGAATGCCACTGAGGTAAAATGCGCTTCTCATCACATCATTTCAAGAGTACGTGATATCCACATGACTTCACTGGTGGTGTTAATTTTCATCACTTGGTTAAGATCATGTTTCCCAGATTTTTTTCTCTATAAAGTTACTATTTTTCCCTTGCCATACTCTTCTCTTTGGAAGCAAGTCACTAAGTCTAGCCTATCTTCAAGAAGGAAACTGGTGGTTATGATTAAGCTCCACTTTTCAAGGGGAGAGTATCTACATACATTAAATGGAATTCTTCTGTAAGAAAGATCTTTCTCTTCTTCCCAATTTACATGTTTATTCAATTATTTATTTATATAAATATGGACTCATTATACTTATGTTATACTTGGGTTATAATTCAATATTATATTATTTATTTTGCTGCTCAACTTGTTCCAGCTTTGACCATTAGAACCTCTTTCAGGTTGACTCCCATCCCTTTGACAAGTCCTCATCTTTTTTGTTTGCTGAGCACTTCCTTACTTTCTTGTACTACCAGATGCTTCTGGCTCATTTCATATATTTTCTGCCCATCTCTAAAATGAGCCATTTCTTCACAGAGACCTGGTGCCTATTTTTGGAGGACAGTAATTAGAAACCAAAGTATGGGTGTTGCTTATACTCTTTGCTATAGGACAATTATCTTTTAAAGATATCTAATGTAAAATGTGTCAAACATATTCTATATTTATATTTTATAGATATTATATATATGTATATATATTACATATTTTATATTTCTATTTACCCATGTAGTTCTCATTTCTGGTGTTCTTCATTCTTTTGTGAAGATCCAGATTTCTATCTAGTGCCATTTTCCTTCTGCTTGAAGGGCTTCCTTTAACATTTCTTGATGTGTTGATAAATTCTTTCTGCATTTATAAGTCAGAAAATATCTTTATTACACCTTTGTTTTTTAAAGATATTTTTACTGCGTAAGGAATTCTAGCTTGACAGATTTTTCCTTTCACTACTTCAAAGATATTGTTCCATTGTTTCCTTTCTTGTGTTATTTCTAAAAGAAATCTACTGCCATCATTATATTTGTTTCTCAATATGCAATATATGTTTCATCAATGGTTTCAAGTAATTTGACTATCATGTGCCTTGATGTAGACTTTTTCACATTTCTTGTGCTTGGGGTTTTTAGAGCTTCTATGATCTGTGGGTTAATAGTTTTCATCAAATTTGGTAAAATATTGGTAATTATTTTCTGGCCCCCTCTCTCTCTCCTTTTTTGGAAATTCTAATCACACAGCTTGAATTTGTCCTATAATCCTCTAATACTCTGTTCAGTGTTTTTCCAGTCTTTTTTCACATGGCTTGATGAGTGGTGTGTAGGTCTGTGCCCAGGATCTAAACCCACGAACCCCAGGCTGTGAAAGTGGAGTACACAAACTTAACCAGTACACCACTGGGCCAGCCCCCAATTTGAATTCTTTTTAGGTGTCCTATGTCTCCACTTAACATGTTTAATTTTTCCTCTAGCTTCTTAAACATATGAAATAAAGTTATAATAACTATTTTAACGTCCTTACTTATTAATTCTATAATCTATCATCTCTGGGTCAGTTCTGACTGGTTGATTATTCTTTTTATGGGTCATATTTTCATACTTCTTTCTTTGTCCTGTGGAGGACGCAGTGTTAGAATCAAAGATCTGGCTGATACTGTACTTTTACCTACACAATCACAGACAATGCTGGCCTAGTGCAAGCATCCAGTGCTCTGTGGAACAGAGCCACTAAAGAGCATATTCTCTGTAAATGGACAGAGGAAGAAAGGTGAAGTTGAACCAAGTCAGACTAGTTATGCTTCCTAAGTTTAGCATTCAAGTAAGGGATATGGAGCAAATCAGTGGAGAGAAAGGCTCAGGGAAAATTCATCCTTATGGAATCCAGGATTGGGGAAAAGTTACTTTGTAATAGTGACCAACTGCTGTGACTAGCATGTTGGATAGGTGTTTAATGGCCACCCAACAGAACAGAGTTGGAAAAAAGTAGGTGAAAGCCAACCTACTTTAAATTGATAGGCAGATTTGTCCCCTGTTTTCACTCATTTTTAAAATTTTGATTATGAATATTTAAAAACATGTAAAGTAAGGTATAATGAACACAACTTACCCATCATCCAGCTTCAAGAATTATGAATACATGACCTATCTTATTTTATCTATGCTCTCATATCCTACCCCTACCCCTGGATTATTTTAAAACAAATCTTAGACATTATAATTCCATATCTTAATAATTCAATGTATATGCCTAAAGGATAAAGAATCTCTCTTAAAAAGTAATTACAATTCTACTAACACAAAAAATTAAAAATAATTTATTAATATCATCAAATACCTAGTTATCCCATTTATCTTATAAATACTTACATTTTTACTATTTGTTTATTTGAATTATAACCCAAATAACGTCCATATATTGTGATTGGGCAATGTATCTCTAAATCTCTTTTGATATATAGGTTCTTTCTTCATCTCTTATTTTCTTGCATTTTTTATTGTTTTTTTTAACTGATAATTAACAGTTTTCTTTGATTCCTATATGCTATCTAAATTTGTAGTTAGATCTAAAGGCTGATCACACTAAGGTTAGATATTTTAGGCAACACTACTGAAGGGGAGGAAGGCATCCTCTACCCACGCTGGGTCCTTTCTGGCTGGGCTATAAATTAAATTGACATGAGACCAAATTGCAAGATAAAATCAAACAAAGCTTTATAACATGTATACACAGGAAAGACCCACTGGGTAACTGAGTGTCCTGACAAAATGGCAGAGGTTCTCTTCTTAAATAGATTTAGGTAAAGACAAAGGAGGATGTTGGGGGTGGGAGGAGAGTCAGTTATGGGAGATTACCAGAAAAGCACAGTAAGGTTATTATGCAGCCTTGCCTTCTGCATTGATAAGTTTCTAGAGATGACGTCATCCCCCCTTTTTTCCTGTACGGAGAGGGAGATACCTTTACAAATGGAGATTTCTCTTACAAATGTAAATGTCTCTTACAAAGGATAACTTCTACTTTTACTTGGATTGGGCTTAGCAAGGACTCTCCCAGTCTATCCATGCCCAGAGTTAAATTCTTTTAGGCAGTTAGTGGGAGGGATGTCAAAGTTTCTTTCAGAGAAAATAATCAAGGTAAAGAGACATATTTTGAGGTGGCCAATTCTGATCACCCACACTACTTTACAAGTGCTATTGTATACTCTCACCATAAAGTCATGAAGTTTGTTTGCCTCTGAAATTATCAGCTCATGGTGATCATTGTCAATTTATTAATTCATTGGAGGTTACAAAATTATGATTTCATATTCTATCATGTTTTTTCACTTACCACCTAGAATACATTTATAAGGAGAAAGTTTATCAACTATTTTGTTACCCAGAGGTTTAGGAAAGGCAGGTAAATGCTTAATTCTTATTCTTAATTAGCGAGTTTTCAAAATAATAAGTTGATTCCTTAGTACACTTCAAAGGTGACCAATGAGTTTTTAACTATATTTTTTAGAATAATTTAAACTCATGGATTTAAACCTATTTGTAGTGTTTTAATTCATTATAGTTATTATCTCTATCAATGTTCAAACTATATCATCTTTGGCCAGCAGGAGCCTCTTCAAGTTAGATACTGAGTTTTTATCACATAGACCTTGTGTTAGTTGGTTCAGTGTGCCATAAAATGACACCAGAGACTAGGGGGTTTAAACAACAGAAATTTATTTTCTCATAATTCTAGAGACTGGAAGTCTAAGATCAAGGTACCAGCAAGGCTGGTTTCTGGTGAGGCCACTCTTCTTGGTTTGTAGATGGCCATCTTCTCACTGTGCCTCACTCTGCCTTTCGTCTGTACACACATGGAGAGAGAGAGCAAGAGATCTGATGTCTCTCCTTCTTATTATTAGGTTATCAGCTCTATCAGACTAGGGCCCCACCCTTATAACCTCACTTCACCTTAATTACCTCCCTAAAGGCCCTATCCCTAAATACAGTCACATAGGAGGTTAGCAGTTCAACATGAATTTTAGAGGGACACAATTCAGTCCATAACAACCCTAGTAGTCTTTGATACCATCCTTGCTTTCTTTCAAGATAAGATATTCTTGGCTCATCTTGTACATTTCCTAACTTAGACTTGGAATCAACCATTCCTATAAATGTTCCCTTATTCTTTTTCTTTATTAAAGTAATATGTGTGTGTGTATAGTTTTGTAAATTTTGATAAATATATACACTCATGGAACTAACACCCTACTCAAGACTTTTACTACCCCAGGAAGTTCTTTCTGCCTCTTTCTAGTCAGTCCTACATCCCTGTCCACCAAGAAGCAACCATTATTTTGATTTCTACCATTATAAATTGATTTTGCTTGTTCTCGCTCTTCATATAATTGGAAGTGTACATCATGCACCCTTTCGCGTACGTGCTGGCTTCTTTCGCTCAACACAATATTTTTGAAAATCATCTGTATTATCGCATGTATCAGTAATTCATGTTATTACCCTTTCAGTCATCAATAAACAGAACTCTGCCAGTTACTCCAAAGCTCCCTCCAAGTGCCTTGTCCCAATCATAACTCTCTCCCTCCCTCCAAGAGTAACTATTCTCCTGACTTTATAGTTATTATTTGTTACATCTCTTTATGGCTCTATCATTCAAATGTACATCCTTAAACACTACAGCTTAATCCTCCCTATTTTTATTACATGTCTTCTAGTTCTTTTAATCTACAGGTTTTTCCTCTAGTCCTTTGTTTTCTTTGCAGTTTTCCCATTTGACCTGTCGAGTTTCTTGTGGTCAAGATATTGATCACAGTTTTTTCAGTATGTTCCTCTATTCCCTGTTTTTCCTGCACAATGGCAACTGGAGCCAGAGGCTTGCTTAGACTCATGTTTGATCCTTTTGACAAGACCATAGGTAGTGTATCTTTTCATCAGGAGGCACATTATGCATCTTTGTGTCTCCTTTTGTAATGTTATCAGCCATTGATGATCATCATCTAAATCCATTAGTTTGTTGGGGGTTGCAAAATTGTGATACTCTAATTCCATCATTTCATTCTCATGAAATGTTTCCCTCGTATAGTATTTGATGATTCAGTAGTACAGTTCATACATGAAAAGCAGAATTAGGCTGGATTCTTTCCCTTTACTTATTGGTTTTCAAGATAATTGATTTCCCATCATTCTCAGAATGTGACTGACTATATGTTTAAATATATCATTTGAACTTAAACATATTTTATATGTTCCAAGCCATATCTTTACTAAAGTGCAAATTGTTTTATCTTTGGCCTGAAAAAACCACTTCAAGTTGGCTTCTGTCTTTTTGACATGACCCTATTAGTCTTTGAAGCTTCCTTGCTCTCTGGTATATCAAGATGTCTCATGTGCATCTCATACATTTCATGTCTTGGACCTAAAATCAGCCATTTCTCCAATAAGCTTTGTTTTTTTGTTTTTTTTTTTTAGTGGGAAATGGTATTTCAAGACAACAATATGGGTGCCAGGGATGCACATTGTTACTGAGTTGTCAGTGTTTCTAGACTTGTGTCATCACTTGCTGCTTAACAAACTGTCACAAAATCTAATGTCTTGAAACAACAGTAATCTTTTATTTTCTCATAGTTATGCAATTTGGGCCATGCTTGATGTAGAACATGAATTTCTGTCTCACATAATGTCCGATGGGACATCTCCCCCAGGGCTGGATAATCATTCACATGGATGACAAATTGGTGCTGTCATTTGGCAGCTCAGCTGGGGCTATCAGCAAGGGTCTCAGTTTTCCCCATGCACGACTTCTCCAAAAGGCTAAGTAGAGCTGCTCACAGAATGGCAGCTGGGTTCTAACAGGGGGTATCCTAAGCACTAGCATTCCAAGAGTTCAAACCTCAAGGTATAAGTTCTTATCAAGCCTCTGGTTGCATGTCATTTTCTCATGTCTCATTGACTGATTATAGTGCCTATCCCAGAGCTAGTGTCAGTGGAAACTACATAAAGGCAGAGAGGTGTGTTTTACTGGGGGCCTCCATGGTATTGGGATAGCCACACAGACTTTCCAGTGAGCAGAGCTTGTGTTCCTTCTAGTTTATTTTTCTTATGTTTCTACTTCTTCTTTGAATTCTGTCTCATTATTTCTGAGTTTTCCAGTTTTATGTTGTTCTTTCATGTCTTTTATCAACTTCTTGATGTCTTTTAATTAATTTTAAAAGTAGATTACAGTTTTGATTTGTTTTATGAGTACTTTTGGGCATGCTTTTTGCTGTTTGTAAGAATGTTATTCAGTTTTTTAATCTTATAATAATTTTGTATGAAATTTAACCTTGATGTTTTTATTTTGTCCATTTTTATGTGAGATTAGTTTTTGTGTTTTACACGGGATTAGTTTATCTGTTTTAGGGGAAAATAAACTTTTAAAAGGAGGCTAAGTTCACAAAGCGTCTTTCTCTTTGTTTGTATAGTTCTAAAGCATTTGGAACAACACCAAATGCTGGCAAAGATGTAGAGAAGCTGCATCACTGGTATATTGCTGATGGGAATATAACAGGGTACAGCCACTCTGGAAAACAGGTTAGCAGTTTCTTAACCAACTAAATATGCAACTATAATACAATCCAGTAATTACACTCCAGGACATTGATCCCAGAGAAATAAAGACTTATATTCACACACAAACATGTACCTGAATGTTTATAGCAGCTTTATTTGTAATGGCTAAAAACAGCCTAGTTGTTCTTTGACAGGTAAGTGGTTAAACAAACTGTAGTACATCCATACCATGAAATACTACTCAGTAATAAAAAAGAAGGAACTATTTACACTTGTAACAACCTAGGTGAATCTACAAGGAATTATACTGAGTGAAAAAAGCTAATCACAAAAGTTACTTACTGTATGATTCCATTTATATAGTGATTCCATTTATATAAAGATATTAAAATGATTCTCCATCACAGAGATGGAGAACAGATCAGAGGTTGCCAGTAGGGTGGAGGAGTAGACAGAGGGAAGTAGGCAGACGTGGTTATAAAAAGGCAACATGAGAGGTCCTTGTGGTGTTGGAACTGTTCAGCATCTTTGACTTTGGTGGTGGATATGCTAACCTACACATGTAATAAAATTGTATACAACTAACTATGCATACACACAGATAAGCATAAGTAAAACTGGGAAAACCTAAATTAGGTTGGTAGATTGTATCAATGTCAACATCAGGGTTCTGATATTATATTTTTGCAACGTAGTATCATTGAGGAAAAGAGTAAAGTGTACACAGGATACTTCTGTATTATTTCCTACAACTACATGTGAATCTATAATTATCTCAATAAAATTTTCAATGAAAAATCACACAAAGTTTGGCTGCTTATTTCTAAGACTATCTGACTCTCTTCCTCTCCCCTACTTTTATTTGGATGTTCTCTTTCTCTTGATTTTATTGTTCTGCTCACATTTTACTCCACACTTAGCTGTTTTCTCTCATAGTGATTTCCTATTTTGGAAGATAGCCCTGCTGATATGTTTTAAAAATTCATAGGGCTAGATTGCTCCAGTCCCACAGACCTTACCATGAACTCCTTACCCTTACTTCTATTGAAGAGGGCAATGTCTCTGCCTGGTTCAGTTGCTCTTCTCAAATTCACCAGCTGCCCTTGCCAGTGGATATGGTTGGTTATTGTAAGGCTCTCCTATACCAAGGATCTTGAGTTTCCGCATCACTTTCTCTGACTTCTCTTTTTCTTTTTTTGGACACAGATGCCTATACCATGTCTGTCTTAGTAGTTTTGGTAGTTTTCCCTGATTTACTTTTTCTTTCAGAGTTTAAGTAGAATACCCCTTCATATATCTTTGTTACAAATATTGTCCATGGACTTTTTGTTTTCTTATCTATTTGCTCTATTTTTTGTGGATACTCTGGAATATCCAAAAAGTATGCTTCCACTACTGCTGCCATCTTTCCAGAATTCCCAAAGATAATTCTGCCTCTTGTTCTTAAGTGTGTGGATGTACTACCTGCTTTGATCATGTCTCACACTGCCAAGAGTGTGATTGGATGATTCCTTTCATGTCCTACTGCTAAAGAAGAAGGTACGTGTAAAAGGAATATTTAAAATAGTTCCTGATGTATTTTCTATTGCAGAGCTTTTGTTTTCTGTGCTGCCTTTTTGCTATTAAGTTTAAGTTGTGAGGCTTCTTGCTCTGAGGGAGGGAAAGTGAATTCTGCTTATAATGAAGTCCACACAGTGGACAAGATACAAGTATGGTTTATCGCTCCAGGCCAGGAAGGAGAAGTAAAATCCCTTTTAAAGAGAAAAAAGAGATGACTGAAAGAGACTCAGCCCCTCTGGCCTGGGCCTTGATCTGGGGTGGTGGATAGGGGCACAAGAACTTCCTAATGATGTCCAGATATGTTGAGACAGAAGTCAAAAACAAAGAAACTTGTGCCCCAACTCCTGTTAGTAATTCTGGGAGATGACTTTGTAGGTTGCCCCTGTATCAACATAGGATGGCTTCATAGAATAGTATTGGGAAGGATAATTTTTCCTCCCCCCTCTTAGGTTTATTAGCATGGGGCCTTCAAATTAAATTAACAAAAGATAGATTAACAGGAGAAATGGCAAGCAATTTTTATTAGTATTTACATGCATGGATTTCACAGAAAAGAAGAAAAACTCAAAGAAGCAGTTAGACTGGGGAGTTTATATACACTTTTAACAAAAGAAAAGAGGGTTTGGGCTTCAAGGGATGACAAACTGTCGGAAAGCAACTAGGAAATAAATAAAGGAGCTAACGGAAGGTAAGGGCTGTTTTAGTAAGGTCTGTTTATGCAAACTCATCTGGCATCAACTCTCCATTTTTGATGATGAGTCTCTCTCCCTGATATGGGGGAGGGGGCATTTTCCTTAAAGGAAAATTTATGCTCTACTTTTAGACATGTAAGGGGAGGGCAGAGAACTCTTCCTGCATCAATTGCCTTTAGCTCAAAATAATCATTATGCCAAAGTGGTATATTTGGGGGTGGCATACTCTGATCTCCAATAGACATAGTGTTGTGGTCTCTTGATCAGAGAAAAGGCCAGAGCTAGCACTTCTACATCCCTCTAGTTAGACTATTGTATATAAGGTATTCAAAATTCTGTGGACCTTAGGTGGTAACACGGAAGATAACTAAGAGTTAAGAGACTGTATCTAACTAGGTATCTATAAGGTGAGATGACCTTGTAGGGGAGCAGAATTTGCCACCCCAAAATGTGTCTCTTTGGCTTGATTACTGTTAAGAACAAAAGCCTTAGAAGAAACTTTGACTTTCCCCCTAACTGCCTAAAAGCATTTAAGATAGAAGGCCTGCTCAAGGAAGGAGCTATCACTGTAGATAACTATAGCATAATATGAACTAGGTGTGGTAGACAGGGTGGAACCTAGCAAGGCCCACTTGATCAGAGTCCTCTCCATGTCCCATTGTCTCTGCAAGACATGGCAAACATTTGTTTACTGAACATTTGCTTTTCCATCACCATGTGAATTGCCTTCCTCCCCTTTGAAGTCCCAAACCATTACCCCCAACATCCTCCTTTGTCTTTAGCTGAAGATGTTATTTAACATGGTGGCTGTGGCAATTTTGGTGAGTTACTCAGTTTTCCCAAATTTCTCACATGTACACATGTTATTAAACTTCATTTGATTTTCTCCTATTATTCTGTCTCATGTCAATTTAATTCTTAGACCAGAAAGAAGAACCTAGAAGGGTAGAGGAAGTTTTTTTCTTCCCCTACAGCCCTTAACAGAAGCTTAGAGAGAACAGCCATAGGCCAGGAATGGACTAGAAGACATGGCTGAGACCCAGAGGATAGGCAGCACCTGGGAGAGCTGAGAGGAGGCTGAGTCCCCAAAGGGGACCACCTATGACTGACAGTAGGAGGGATCATGAGTTATACATATACCCTTGAACAATTCTTCTGCAGTAGATGCAATGAGAACAGAGGCCAATGCCCAGAAACCAGGTGACAGGAGTAAGGTATTGGGAGGAAAACTCTTCCTTTTCTGAGTACAACAGTTGGGGGCCTGCAAATTAACCGACAATAGACAGATTAACAGAAGAAAGATGAGGTTTATTTATATATGCAGATAGCAGCACGAGTACTCAGTGATGAGTAAGTCACTCAATAGCCAGAGATAAAAGGTTTATAGACCAAACTTAAGAAAGGGGAAAAGTAGTTTAGGGCTTCATTGGGAAGGTGTGGAAGGTTCTATTGAGTTTTTTGATGCTAATAAAAATGGACAGTCTGTCTCCATGGCAGCTGAATTCATAGGAAACTCTCTTGGAGAGGGCTTAATGGCAGCTGTATTTTCTAGAAGCTCTGCTTTAGTCAGTTAAGGGACATTTAAGTAAGATTTCTTTCTGCATATTCTTTAGCTCAAATGTTTTCACTTCAAAATAATTTTTATACCAACCCTAGATGTCTGAGTGGGTCTCCACAAAGGTCAGCAGCAGCCATCAGGAAA